TATACTATTGTTTATCTTACTTTATAAGCCCTTTGGAGATAGTTTATAAACTCATTAATCTGAATTGCAGTAGTATTAATAATCGATAGAAAAAGTAAACACGCAATGCTAGCAGAGCAAGCAAATGTGTAATCTGAACACTTTTAAGTAAAGATGTTTATTGATTTTCCAACAAGGTACTTCACAGGCAGGCCCTGTAGTTTCAAGGGCAATAATTGCTGTTGTACTTAGCTGGGGAAATTTTGCAATGAAAATTCAGAAATACAGGTATTTCTGAGGCACTTTGCTCTCTCATGGAGGGAATTTCTTCTTTTCCTACCCAAACGACAGCTTATAGTGATATATTTACATATTACTACCTGTGAGGTGGAATTGTGGAAAAACCGAGGACTTGCAAGATGGCAGAATTGGACTGTGTGTGACCATGGGCCACGAGCAAGTTACATGGCTTTTCTGCGCTTGAAGCTTTTGAGCTGTGAAATTGGCCTAACGTTTGTGCATGAATTAAGCACATGTGTACTTAAAACATCTGTCACATAATTGACAATCAGTGTCATTTCCTCCCCTCTCAGATCCACCTGACCGATTACAGAGAAATCATCCCGACAAACAACACCTGTTGAGCGTTCCAGGCCCCATTCCAGGCGTTTCTCACCGTTTGCCTCATTTAATTCTTGCAACAACCTGAGCATTTGACACGTTGAGTTAATGAGGCTTCAGCAGCAGGCCCTCACTTCCATGAGTCCCTTGCGAGGTCCTGAATCTAACAGAACACTCCTCCTCTCCCTGTTTTAAGTTTCAGGCTCCACAAAGTCTGAATTCGCCCTGGACGGGGACCGTTTTCCTAATTTTGCAAAGACGGGTAAAGTAAACTGCCTAATAAGTGTTCATGCGCCCTCAGTCGTGTCCGACTCTGCCGCCCATGGACTGCAGCCCTGCAGGCTCCTGTCTCCATGGGATTTTCCAGGCAGGAATCCTGAAGTGGATTGTCATTTCCAACTCCAGGGGAATCTTCTAGACCTAGGGATCCAACCCACGTCTCCTGCATTGGCAGGCGGGTTCTTCACCACTGAGCCAAAGGGCATTCAGTTTTACAAAGAGGGGTAAATAAGTTGTCTAAGATAACACACTTTTAAAGTAGTGGAGAAAGAATTGAACCGGAGTGGCCTGACCCCAGAGCTCGAGCTCTTAGCCACTGGGGGTGGTGAGAATGGTGTCGTTGGGAGAGGAGCAGAGTGGCCAAGGCCCCAGGCGGAAAACCAGCGCACGCGTCCCGCGGTGCGGCTACGCGGGGCAGGCCGGGGTCGGAGGGGATCACCCCGCTGAGGCTCCCCGCCCCTTCTTCCCCTTCCCCTTTTCCGCGCCGCCGAGCCGGAGCCGCGCCGCTCGCCCCGCGGCCGCCGGGCCCGACCCGGCCCGCTTCCCCCCCAGGCTGCCGGCGCCAGGCCGCGGGGTCCGGCTCGAGAACTTTGCAGGGAAGAGAAACTTGGCAGCCAGTCGGGAGGACAGGAAAGTGGGGCGCGGGGTGGGGGAGCGGCGCTCAGGTGGGCGCGCGGGGCGGCCGGTGCCCGGCGCCGGGTGCAGGCCGCCCCGGGGAGGCGGCTCCCACGTGCTGCGGGCGGCCGCCCTGGTACAGCTCCGGGCGGTCTTCCCCTTCGCCTCTAGCCCGCGGCTCCTCGCTCGTGCGCGGGGCCGGGCGGGCGAGGTTGACCGGGGAGCCGATGGCGCTGCCACCTCGCGCCCGGCCCCGCGGGGGGACGTTTTTGGCGGGATCCAAGTTCAGGGTGCGCGGGGGCTGGGGGGCGGTGCGTGCGGCAGGTCTGCGTTACCGCAGGGGAATCATTTCTGAACCACCCCAAACGTGAGAACCTCAAGTTCAAGCGTAGCCCTTCCCCCGAGAGACCGAGCTGTTGGCAAGAAAATGACCGAGTGAAGGCGAGGGAAGTCCCCACAGACTTCGGGAGAAAAGGGACCGGGGGCCGTGGCACCCCCCGGGACCCTCGGCGACGCAGGGAGCGGAATGATGGGGGCGGGGTGTCCTCGGTGGGTGGCGGGCGGGACCCGCTGCCCGTGGCGACAGTGGCCGTAGGGTTTGCGGGTGCCCAGTTGAGTTGTTGGTATCAGTGGCTGGCGCCGGACTTGTGTGTGTGTGTGTATTGGGGGCGATGGGGGGGGGCGGGGTACGAAAGGAAAACGACCCCCGGTGCTCGTTTCGTTTACCAAATGTGAGGAGGTCCACAGGAACCCCTTCTACTATTGAGAAAAACGGGTCAAGTGACAACTATTGAAGCTGCTTCACTGGGATTGCGCGTCCGTTTGGCCACTTCGATGGAAAGAAGTCACGCCGAAGTGTTCAGGGAGTGCACACTGACCCAAGCTTTACGTTGTCTGCTGCGGGGCTGCCTAAGCGCAGGTGCTTCTCCTAAGCACCTGGAGCGTTTTTCAAATTTTATCCCTGTTGGGCCCACCGCCAGAGGTCCTGAATCGCAAGTGATGAGGCTGAAGTCCTGACCTGGGCATTTTTGTAAAAGTTTCCCCGGGGGATTTTGCTGGGGGTGCCTGCTTAGGAATCAGGAGGTAGAAGAACTGGACTCTACCATGTCGCGGGTTGAAGAAATTTTAGGAACGGTGTTTCTTCGTCTGTATAGTGGCCCCTAATAATTTATTCTAAAGATAAGTTAGTATAAGATGTGTGGGAGTGTGTTGAAAAAGAAGTCAGGATAATACAAAATTCTGGTGCAGTGGGAAGATAAGATGCATGCCCGTTTCCACAAGTAATGTGCAGACTGAGAGGGGAGTGGAAGAATCACAAATGGCTATACCTGGAGAGGAAACGAGGGGTTTTGTTTTTAGGTAATCAGACAGTGTAACAGTTGGTGTAAATTCTAATTCAAAATCATTACCACCTGGATGAAAGCAAGCAAGCTCCAGCCTGCTCCATCTGTGAAGGATGGTTTGAAAAACACACCACGTATCTTGCCTCTTCTCCAAACCCAAAGACTTTAGATTATTTTCATTTAGGCCAATCAAGAGTCAGTAATCAATGTGTCCTGTCTTGTGATAACCCCTACTGGCCGAGGCTGCATGTTTTTCTACTGCATGTGAGTTTCTGTTCCATTGCTCAACAAATTTGTGTTGAGGACCTTCATGCTCAAAATACAAAAATGAGTAAAATGCTGTTTTTTGCCCTAGCCGTCTGTCTAGTGGAGGTGACTGATGTAAAAACAGGCCACAATATAACCTGGTTATGATGATAATACAGTTATAGAATGAGTAAAGTGTCCTGTGGCCCATAGGAAAGAGAAGCTCCATTAGCCTTGGCTAAGAGGCAACACTGAAATTGGTAAACAGCCCCCTTTTGCCAAAGCTTGAGAATTTAGGATTCTATGTAGAGTCAAATCTGTGTTCTTATTTTTCAATCTGATGAAATTCTCGTGTAATCATATGCTGACAGTCTAAAGCAGAAATGACTTTTGGTTTCATGATGACTCTTAAAAATTTACTAGGTTTTCTGTTATTTTACCTTTGTAAAAGTCTCAACTATGTCTAAAGTTAATTCAAGAAAGAGGTGGTTAAACGAAAAGAAAAAATGTAAATGTGTCCTACATTCCTACTGAATATTTAGTTCCACTTACATATTCAGATAAGTTCTTTTAATTACATGCACTTTTAAAGGGTATGCTTTTTTTTAAGTGATTCTCATTGTGTTAATTAGGAAAGCTTAGAAATGATCTAATAGAGGAGAGGGGCATAAAAGCAAAACTATGAGGAAAAGGAAAAGCTAGAAGGTGGAGGAGAAAGCAGTTTAACAAAATTGGAAGGAGACAGCAGTAAGCACTTACTGGGTAAAGAGTCAAAAAGAAATGGGTGAATCAAACATGGCTGCCAGCTTCTCTGGGGATCTGCTTTCTTACACATTTTGTTTATAGACCCTTACTTTTCAATGTTATTTCAAAAACAGGGAGGCAGTCTAATGTGGTAGTTAAAGCACAGGCGAAAGAGCCCCAAACTTGAATAATGTATTAGGTAGTGACCTTGGGCAAGGGCCTTAACTGGCTGTGTTTGCTCATCTGTAGAATGAAGATGTTAATATGAGCTCCAAGAGGCTTGTGAGGATTAACAGCTATGATGCTGTTAATCTGGACACCTGGCTGTGATAAAGCCTTGATCAGGAGTGGCCTCTGCTCTTGTTTCTCTCACCTTACTTGAGCCTCGTGAAAGCACGGGGAAACTGGGCAGATAGCTTTGTTCACCTTTGCAGTTGAAGACACTGAAATTGGGAGAGGCTGACTTGCTAAAAGCATAGAAGCTAATGGGTAGATGGGCTGAAGTGAAGCTGTGTCTTTTGCAATTTAGTCCTGTGCTTTCATTCCTGCTCCACGCTGGTGCTGATTTTGATAATGGCTAAGGTTGATGCTCCCTGGAGTTTAAAGGGGTAGAGGCTGGAATCATTTCAGCTGTCCATGCACACTGTCACCCAGTGACTTTCCTGTGGTTGTTGATTTCTGTTGTTGATTACGTTTTTCTTTAGGGTTTATCGGTGGGAGCCCACTCCTGCATGGTGGTAAGGGGAGACAGTGGAAAGGCCATAAGCAAGTCACATGTGGAAGAGGTTTCAAAGGGGGAACCCTTGTCTCCAATTTCCAGTAGTATGTATATTACTAGAAAAAAGTCAGCTTTATTGTTCAGTGACTTAACTGCTTTCATCTGCAACTGGGGGTTCTCGTGCAGAAATCTATTTCCTATCATATCCCCTTTCACATACATATCTGGTCCCTGAAGAGGTGGGGAGAAGGGATGGTAGCTCTGTACAGAAAGCTCAAACATGTGGGTCAGATTTTAATTAGAATGTTAAGTGGTAATTTGCAGTGGAGAAGAATCTGCCTGCCAATACAGAAGATACAGGAGACAGCAGGTTCGATCTCTGGGTAGGGAAGATCTGGAGGAGGAAATGGCAACCCACTCTAGTATTCTTGCCTGGAAAATTCCATGGACAGAGGCACCTGGAGGTTGCAGTCCATGGGGTTGCAAAGAGTTGGACATTACTGGGCGACTGAGCACACACACGGTGGAAAAAGCATGACCAAGAATATATTATACAAGGATGCAGAAAAGTATAAAGGAAGAATGCTTTTAAGACTAGCCCCTCATTGTTGGTTCAGTCTTTCATATAAAGAAGCGGACTTAATCTTCATAGATGACCTTTCTCTTTCAGGTACAGATGGCCCCAATTTCATATCTTTCAATTCAGCATGGTTAACCTTCTCAATCAAGCAATTTAAAATATATGTGCCCAGGATAGTGTTGGATGCTTACAGGTGATCCTGGAAGGTAGAAAGTCAACATTTAGCCTGGGGTGCAATTAATATAAATGCGGAGTAGGTGTGGTGCGGTTTCTTGAAGAGATGGGAAAGCTCTCAGAGTTTGAGAAATCTTTCTGGGGAGGGAGAGGAGACATATCCTTGCTGTAGGGTGTGAATGGCTTTTCAAATCCCCTTCATCTGAGGAATACATAAACAGTGGGTGGCATTGGGGATACAGAGATGAAAGAGTAAAGGTAGAAATACCTGACCCCCCAGAAGCTGACCCCACAGAACCATCCTAGGTATCCCCAAAGGCGCTTACTTGCTGGGCAGCCTTCAGGACAGAACATTAGTGGCAAAGCAAAGCTCTCTCTGCCAGGCCTCTGGAAATTCACAAAGCATGAGAGATGATTTCTTGAGTGGCTATGATAGGCAGTAACTATTTGTTGAAAAGTAGTCGCTCAGTCGTGTCTGACTCTTTACGACCCCATGGACTCGGTAGCCTGCCAGGCTCCTCTGTCCATGGAATTCTCCAGGCAAGAATATTGAAGTGGGTTGCCATTTCCTTCTCCAAGGGATCTTCCCTACCCAGGGATTGAACCTGAGTCTTGTGCATTGTGAGCAGATTCTGCACTGTCTGAGCCACAGGGCAGACCCATGTGTTGAATACATTTGCTAAATGTATCTGAAATGCCTGGAAAAGTTAGGGCGGGCTTCCCTGGCGGCTCAGACAGTAAAGCGTCTGCCTGCAGTGCAGGAGACCCGGGTTTGATCCCTGGGTCGGGAATATCCCCTGGAAAAGGAAATGGCCCCACTCCAGTACTCTTACCTGGACAATTCCATGGACTGAGGAGACTGGTAGGCTATAGTCCATGGGGTTGCAAAGAGTCAAGACACGACTGAGCTTTCTTTCTCAGAATTAGGATTAGGGATAGTGGAGGGAAAGAGCAGTTGGCCAAGATGGTGGTAGTTAGGCTCTATCGCCCCATAGCCTCTTGCTCTTGCCCCACATTTTGTAAATACATGTTTATGTAACAGCTGAGATCCTTTATAGCACTGTGTATGTGCAATGCTCTGTATAAGTACCACCTGAAAAGCTCTAGTAGGCAAGTAGTCCAGTTGAGTAGAGTTCAGTAGCCTTGAGTTGGGCTGCATCATGACTATATCTGCTGGGTCAACCACCAGAGAATACATTGTGAACAGTGAGATAGAGCAAGACAGATGTGAATGCATGCATGCTAAGTCAGTTCAGTCATGTCTGACTCGTGACCCCATGGAGTGTAGCCCACCAGGCTCCTCTGTCCATGGGATTCTCCAGGCAAGAAGACTGGAGTGGGTTGCTATGCCCTCCTCCAGCGGATCTTCCTGACCCAGGGATTGAACCTGCCTCTTATGTGTCCTGATTTGGCAGGTTGGTTCTTTACCACTAATACCACCTGGGAAGCCCAGGGATGTGAATAGTTTTATCAAAATATTAATATATACAATTCTGTATTATCGGGAATGGGGTTAAAAATCAGGAAGTCACAGGGTCTCTGGAAAAGGGAATGGGGAGGGGAAGTATCAGAAAAGAACTTTGATTGAGACCTTTATCTTTAGACACAAAGGCCCTTGAGTCTTGTCTGAAGGTTGGACGCATCTTAGCAGGACCTGTGGGTTTGAGTTGCACTAAGTTAACTCATGAGAATCTTAACACATCCCATTTTCAGATTATTAAGTCACATCTGGAAGATGAAAATGCCTAGCAAGTCCAATTACTTTTCTTCTGCCAGGTTTAAGCATTTTCATCATGGCAGGGGAAACCGATTAAAGGCTGGAGGGCTGCTTGTTGAGAAATGAGAACAAAAGAGTTGACTGATTCAGTGCCAGTGTCACAGAGCCACTGAAGCCTGTGATACGCCCTTCACTTGTCCATGAACAGGGACTTCCTCGCTGGCAGGCTGGTCAGCCAACTTCCCCCTTGCACATGGTAGAGACGCCTCACTTGATGAAATGCTCGTTTCCTAGACTCTCAGATATCACCACCAGCCTTTGCTTGTATGTATTAACCACTTGTCAGATATTTATGATTTTTATTTATCTCGTTATGATCATCTCTCCCAAATTGGAGATCATTTCTCTTTCGAGAAAGTCTAGTATTGATACTATTTGGCAACTACACCAGTTTTAGCTTCAGTAGAGGTATTTGAATTTGGAGTCACTCTTCTCCGAGATAATCAAGTATTGGCTTGGCCTCAGCTTGGATCAACATCTGGCTGAATGTACAACTGCAGTAATAATAGTTCCTTCAGGCGTCAATTTGTGTGAGTCCACGAACCTGAGGACTTTGAGCTGAATGAAGAGAGAAGATGCATGTAGAGGTAAGAGGAATGGAGGGGAAAGGTGGGGCGGGAAAGGAATGTGATGGTATTTGGCAAACACCTGTTCCCCCCCCACAACCCCCGCCAAAAAAAAAAAAAACCTTTATCCCAGGAACACTATTACCTAGCCTGGGCTTTTGGGGAGAGGGGCTAAAAGCATGAGCTGATGAAGCTAATTTTTGTGGAGTTTTTTTGGGAGGAGGACCAAAGGGAAAATAGTATCCTCAGCAGCTTGAAGGTTTGGAATTTGGGGGGTTTGTTGAGAGAGGTGGCACCTGGGTCAGGAAAGGGTACAGTTCTCTGGGTAGCATACCTGAGGCTCTGGTGCTGGGCTGTGCCCTCCTCCTGCCATGGATGAGATAGACCTTGGCCAGGGAACCAGGTGGGCTGCATCTGTGATAAGGGAAAAAAATTGTTTTTAATATGCGTATTATCCCATATAGAACAAGGTATTAGGTTGGTGGAAAAGTAATTGCAGTTTGAGACTGTGAATTTTAAATTTTATAAATAGGCTCAGACATATCTTTATGAATCAAAATAGGAACTGTTAACAATCAACACATTTTTGCCAATGAGAAATAAGTTTCTTTATTCCTGTAGCATCAAAATCCATGCTTCAGGATTCAGCCAACTCTTGGAAAGCATTTTCTGCCTCCTGCTGGTTGTGGAAGCGTTTTCCCTGCAAAAAGTTGTCAAGATGCTTGAAGAAGTGGTAGCTGGCTGGCGAGAGGTTGGGTGAGTATGGCAGATGAAGCAAAACTTCGTAGCCCAATATGTTAAACTTTTGAAGTCTTGGTTGTGTGTCTTGTGGTCAGGCGTTGCCATGGAGAAGAATTGGGCTCTTTCTGTTGATCAGAGATGGCTGTAAGCATTGCAGTTTCCGGTGCATCTCATCAATTTGTTGAGCATGCTTCTCAGATGTAATGGTTTCACTAGGATTCAGAAAGCTGTAGTAGATCATTCTGGCAGCAGACCACCAGACAGTGACCGTGACCATTTTTTGGTGCAAGTTGGGCTTTGGGAAGTGCTTTGCAGCTTCTTCTTGGTCTAACTACTGAGCTAGTCAACACCGGTTGTCGTATAATATCCACTTGTCGTCACATGTCACAGTCTGATGGAGAAATGGTTCCTTGTTGTTGTGTAAAATAAGAGAAGATGACACTTTAAAATGAGGATTTTTTGGATTTGTGGTCAGCTCGTGAGGCACCCACTTATGGAGCTTTTTCACCTTTCAAATTTGTTTCAAATGCCGAACGACCACGGAATGGTCGATGTTGAGTTTTTGGCAACTTCTCATATAGTTATTGGTGGTTGTCAGTTTCTGATGGCTGGCCACTCTGCTCCTCATCTTCAAGGCTCTCATTTCCTTTGCAAAACTTCTTGAACCACCACTGAACTGTACGTTCATTAGCTGTTCCTGGGCCAAAAGTGTTGATGTTGTGAGTTGTCTCTACTGCTTTATGACCCATTTTGAATTTGAACAAGAAAATCGCTTGAGTTCGCTTTTTGTAGAACATTTCCCTAGTCTAAAATAAATATGAAATAAGTAATAGTAAGTCATTAGCAAAAGAACATAAAGTGAGAAATGTGCATTAAAATGATGAATAGCAACCACATTTATTTAAGAATGTATTCTAATATCAAACAGCAGAGTTCAACAGTGCAAAACCTTAATTACTTTTGTACCAATATAATATTTATAAATAGTCCATTAATGTTTGGGGAAAAGAGCATGAAGTTTTCAGCCACAAGGTAAATAGAACATTTTCCATTCTTATCAATTTACAGTGTTTTTACACACGTCATTTACCCTGTCTTATGTAGGTGTTGACATTGCTTAATGAAGGTGAATGTGTCAAAAGATACTAAGGTGGTGGTTCTCAAACTGGTTCTCTGAATTCTAGGTTGTTCCAGAGAGCTCAAAAGTGGGTGTGAATCAGGAGGCGAGATGAGGGAAAAGTAAAACAAATAGTCTTTTACCACGTTGCTTCTTTGACTTCAAATTCTGTTGAATTTTTATGTTTTCTTTGTTGAGCTTTTGATACATTGTTATGAAAAAGAGTTATCTGTTTTCAAACGTAAGAGTGCCAGTATTATGTGAATTTTCAAAGGTTAAATGTTAGCCTTTGATATTATAGGGCTGCCCCATATTTGGGGGTATTTGAGTCAAGACATTGGCTGGGTAATTGTGAGGATCAGATTCTCTCTCCTAGGCCTGAATATCCTTAATAAAAGAATTGTACATTTAGTTTTCCTAGAGCCACTTAGAATTTCTCTGACAATTGTGGCCCCCAATCTGGAGATGTGTACATCCACATTTCTTATTTTTGAGCCTCCTCAAGACTTTGCTAAGGGAGAATGTGAAGGGCAGGGCTCTGGACAGAGTGCAGACAGACCAGCAAGGGTGGGCAGAGTGCTGATGGAAGAGACTGTAGAATCCAGCTTGGAGTGGGGAGGAAAGAATTGTAGGCTTAGGGGCAGCTGGGGGTCCTAAGATAGAGGCACCCAGGATGCTAAGAAGCCAGACTTGGAAACAAAGGCAGTTGTGTTTAAACCATTAAAAAAAAAAACATAACAAAAAAACCCCGCCGTCATCTACATAAGACAATTCCTCACGTTAGTGAATGCCGAGGCAGCACAGGTTTTCTACAGCAAGAGACGGTGGGTTGCGGTTCTGGTCTGCCTGTGTTCTTGGCTTTGTGACCTTTGAGTCTGCTTCCTTATATGTAAAATGAAAGTGTTAAACTAAGCTCTTACCAAGCTTCCTTCTCTGCTGAACAACCTGTGCTTTAGGGCAAGTGTGTTTTCATGAATATCTACTGATGTGCCTCTCAGTGCACGTTTCTCAAATTTCGCATTTCTCATATAAACACAAATTAGATATTTCTTTTTCAATCTATGTGGTACCACCATCTGTTCAGGATGTTTTTCAATTGAAAGTTCCATCTTTTTGAGCTTTGACAAGATTTGGGTGGAACCTTTCTTTATGAAAGATGAAACATGTATTTGGGACATCTTTCATGTTGAAAAAGCACTGGGTTTAATGCATTTTCCCCATGTTTCATTGGGACTCTAATCTGTGTTAGATATAAAATGGCACTAAAACAAAATTAAATGTCTTTAAATTTGCATTATCAGTCATCTATTAGTTAAATACTATATTTCATTTACAAATTAAGTTTGCCAGAAATATTTTGTAAAGAAAGTAGCTCTAGTATATCTCATAAATAAAGAAGCTTGAAGAACATACACCATACTTAATCATGGCTAACTCTGGGGACTAAACTATAAGTAGGGTCAGTAAATTTGTAATTTCTGCTTTAGGTACTTCTGTATTGTTTAATGAACACATTAATTTTTGTAATTTCATGCATATTATTTGTTATGGAATGAGCCTTTATGATTATAAAGTATCTTTATTGGATTTATAGATATAATCACCATTTGACACAAGTAATTTAAGACTTAAAGTAAAACTAATATCGTTTTGCTAGACCATGTAGAGAAATGAATGCCCCTTCTTTGATGGATTTAGAAGTTGATGGTGTTCTTTTGGTGTGTAGTTGGACAGGTTTCATATGATAGATCATGTAAGCAAATACTTTTCTCTAGCCCTTTCAAGGCCTGAGCCTAGAGATGAAAAATAAGTTTCATCATCCTTGATTGTGGCTAGAGAGATGTGTTGAGAGAGGTCATACCTAAGTTCCAATAATTAGCCTGACGTGGGTACTAGAGGATGAAGGAAATGGCTAATCACTTGCCATTTATTTGCTGTCCCTGAAATCTGGACTTTTAGATGACAAGTTATGAAGGTAAACATTTTCTGTCCAGATCTCTTAAACTCTACTGTATGGTGTGTGTGCTCAGTTGTATCCGACTTTTTGCCACCCCATGGACTGTAGCCCACCAGGCTCCCCTGTCCATGGAATTTTCCAGGCAAGAACACCGGAGTGGGTTGCCATTTCCTACTTCAATAATACGTATGTGTGCTAGTCGGTCAGTTGTGTCTGACTCTTTGAGACCCCATGGACTGTAGCCTGCTAGGCTCCTCTGTCCATGGAGTTCTCCGGGCAAGAACACCGGAGTGGATTGCCATTCCCTTCGCCAGGGTGTCTTTCCAACCCAGGGATCAAACCCAGATCTCCTGCATTGCAGGCATATTCCTTACCATCTGAGCCACCAGGGAAGATTATACTTAATCAGATAATATTTTATTTTTTTAATATAGTTAGTGGATAGTTTCATAATAAGTCATGTTGAGATTGCAAGGACTGGAATCTTTTGTATTCCTCATAGAAGCTGGCATGATACCATACTTGAAAGAACCAAGGAATTAATGACTAATGAAATAAAGGACTAATTTGTTTATTTGGGCAATGTGAGGTTATAGATAATAAGGATAATTCAATCTGATTGAGCATCAGTTAAAACAATTTCATCCTCCTTTATAGAAATATTTACCAGGATTGATGTTAAGCTGAAAAATTGACTACTATGACTTAGAATTTCTTTCTGTGACTCTCTTTAATCCTTTTAATTTTTGACACCGAGAGAGTTAAATGACTTACATGCATGACGGTGGGTAGCTTGATTTTTATATTTATAGTTTAAAAGGGTACCAGTGTTGCACATATACTGCATGTAGAGAGACGGGTACACATACCATTTATATTCATAAGGAATAGCAGGTGGAGAAGAAAAAAATACAGAACATGTCATTCCAACCCTCTGCTGACCCCACCTTTTTTTTCTTGGAAAAAGAGGGACGTGCTTAATTAATCAGAGTAATGAGAAGCTGCCAGCATACTGTTTCTCCAATTATTTCAGACTGAATTTAAAAACAAAATCACGTATTTGGATGACATCCTGCTTACAACCAGATGAACAAGATATTTATTCATGCATTCATTCATTTAATAATATCTACCGTGCACCTACCACCTGCCAAGCACTGTTCTAGACTCTAGGAGTGGAGTTATGGGCATGAGACTGGGCCCCTACTCTGTTATTTAATATGGATGAGAAAATTAAATCTCTCCAAAGTGTCTTGCCTGACGTGGTAGATTTGGGACTTGATTCTAAGTTTTCTGTTCTAACCTTTGCACCACACTGTCTCATGTAATTTGGGGGACCCTGATTGTCGATCAGCAGGGCAGTTCTGTCTGCCTTTCCTTTGTTCTCCCCTTGTTTGTGGTCCATTGCTTTCGATGTGGAATGGTGTGGATGCTGAGAGATACTCTGTCCATGAGAGTGTCCTAGGGCCTTGGGCAAGTCGTATTCATTTTTTGAACAGAACCTAGGCTCATGCTGTTAAAAATAACATGAGTGAAATAAAGAAATTAAAGCAGTATTTTTCCAAATCTGAGGGTTTTAATTTGGTAGAATGAAACCAACATTAAGAAAACTTTTTTTTTAAATCTTCAAGTACATCACAACTAGTCTGCTAAATATGTAAAACTTTTATTCCATGATTATATGTTTCTATTAGGTTGCAACATGAAATTTTTTCCTTGCCATTTGTTGTGGTCAAAAACATTTGAAACAATGATTTAAAGGGCATCAGGTGAGATAGTGTTTGTGACAAAAATGAAGTTTATGAAAAAAGATGCATGGTTATCCTTAGCTATCATTTGAATG